GCCTTCAGGATCCAAGACTACTCCTCTCCACCCAATAGCCGGTGGAGTAACTGCAGTAACAGGGAGGGAACACAGCAGCAGTCTCCTCTACAGTACAGCCTAATAATAACACTTGAAAAGTTTGGGTTCTGGTAGATTGGGCTTGGATACAACCATTAGTAAGTTTGGTGTGTCCATGCGTGCGTGTGTGCGTGTGTGTGTGTGTGTGTGTGTGTGTATTCACACACAGGTATATGTACGATAAACACACTATTTTGACTGGACTGTATTCTATGAATATAGATGATTATGGTCTTTGTTTAAGACAGATTCTCGTCATGTAGGTCAAACTGGCCTTGAACTTGCAATCCTCATGCTTCAGTTCCCGAGTGCTGGAGAGAGTCAGTTCTCTCCTTCCACCACGAGGATCCCAGGGATGTTGCTTCGGTTGTTGAGCTTGGCAGCAAATGCCTTTATCTGCTGAGTCATCTTTCTGGCCCTTAAAAAGCTTTTAAAGCAAATTGCCAATACAGGTTTTGGGAACTTTAAAGAAAATATGTAAATTATTTTCAAGAATTTCAGACATTTTCCTTGGTTGGTTGTTTTAAGATGGTGTCTCACTACATGGTCCTGGCTAGTCTTGAACTCACGAGATGAACTGATTCTCTGCTTTAGGTTCCTAAGTAGCTCAGGCTATAGCCATGTGCCAAAGTGCTTGGCTCATTACACTACCGTGCCTGGCTTTCAAAGTATTGTTTTCTGAAACTACCCTCTGTGGACATATGAACATCTAAAGGGTTCTTTAGGGTCCTTTTGTTATAGGCACCAAAATGTATTCCACCAGGTGAGGTGATCTGCACATGTAAGCCCAGTGCTCAGGAGGCTTCATTAGGAGGTTATGTCAGAGGCTAGCCTGGTCTACATGGGGACTATGGATGCAACTCAGTAGAAAAGTGAGTGCCTAGCCATATGCAAGTCTCTGATCCCCACCTACACCCCCAGAAATATTCCTTAATTCCTATTGGCATTTTCTAATTTAATAAAAATTTCAAAGCCAGAGCCAGAGAAATGTTTCATCGGGTAAAAGTGCCTGTTGCCAAGACTGACATCCTGAGTTTAATCCCCAGGAAACTCATGGTGGAAAGAGAGAACCAGCTCCTGCATGTTGACCTCTGACCTCTGCATATGTTCCATGGCACGTGCCTCCCAGGCCTAACCTATCCCCTCTACACACAAAGAAATATAATTTTAAAAAGAAAAAAATTCAAGCCAGGCATGGTTGCACACTCCTTTAGAGCCAGTACTCAGGAGGCTCAGTAAATAAGATGCTGAGTTTTAGATCAGCCTGGATTGCCTAATGAGACCCTGTCTCCAAATAAAAATTTAGTGACAGTTATTATTATATGCTATCCTCATGTTAATGTTATAAAAGGAAGTTTAGTGATTCCAACAAGATACCTGAACCCCAGTATGAGTCATCTTTGCCTTCCTTGGCAACCTACCACTTAGTCAATAGGACCCAATTGTCTTGATAAGGCAGTTTCTTCTTCATGGGATGCCTTTCAATTTTTCATTATAATTAACCCTATCTCTTTGTATAACATGCAAAAATAATTGCAATGTGTTTCTGTTCTATATTGGAGAAACAGGTGCAAGAGATCTATATTTGGGTGAGCCCAGATATAGAAGGGATTAAATATGAGCCTATTCAGTTGGTGATTGTGTGGACTAGTTTAGGGAAGACGGTATTGAGATAAAACTTGCATGCTTTCATAGATGGGGTGCAGTGGTAATGAGTTAAGATGTCACTGATAATATATAACATGGAATATTGTAAGTTGGATACAAATCTAATGTGATATATATATATACATATATGTATGTATGTATATATACAAACACTATATACACATACATACATGCATACATACATACATACACACACACATACATAAATATATATATTATGTATGGGTGTTTGCCTGCATGTCTATATGGCCAAAAGAGGACGTCAGATCCTCTGGAACTGGGGTTGCAGACAGTTGGGAGCCGTCATGTGGTGCTGGGTGCTGAGAAACAAACCTGGGCCTTCTGCGAAGATTAGCCAGTGCTTTTACCCTGTGTGGAAGGAGGAGGACTTCCTCAATAATAGTGGCAATACCGAGGGCAAGAACGGATAACAAGAGGAGACTATGGCAGGCCTGTGGGCCACACCCTGTCTGTCTCTAACATGAAACAGGTCTAGGTGTCCCCATTGTCATGCTCTCCATCAGCCCCTCAGGACTGTCCCAAAGAAGACCTTCATCACAATTGTCTACCACAGTTGCTGATTGCAGCTCAACGCAGCAAGGGATGCATCTGGGTCTCTGAAGGTCACCTGCTTTCCCTCACATGTCTCCTTTTGAAGCTGTACTGTCTAGGATGTGGGTGGAATTCTGGAGCTGTAATGAAACCATCATTGATCTAGTGCTTGCTTTCCCTTTACCCCCATAAACTTGGTGTTCTACGCAAGGGATGCAAGGCCATGTTCAGTATCCCTGTCAATAAGAAACCACACCACAGACCGTGACTGGAGGTGACACACATTCTTCTAGTTATACAAATGCTGGCCCTGCCTAGATGTGGTTTCACAGACTGCATAGGCATTCACGGTGGTTCTTAAATGAGGCATGTATTTTACTTACTAGCAAACACAGAGATGTTGGTTGGGTCAAGCTTTTCTAACCTCATGAAATTGGGTCTGCAGCTAGGAGTGGTGAGGGAATGAAGATGTCACTCACATACACACACACACACACACACACACACACACACACACACACACACAGAGAGAGAGAGAGAGAGAGAGAGAGAGAGAGAGAGAGAGAGAGAGAGAGGGAGGGAGGGAGAGAACACCTGGGATCAGGTGGCTGTGCATGCACTAATGGACCAGCATTGGGGGAGAACTTAGCTGGTCCCCATAGGAGGTTTTTGTAGTGGAACTGCCTCTCAGGCAGTAGACATATGGAAGGATGAAGCTGCATTTGCTAGTTTTGAACACACTGATCAATCCTTTATAAACACTCCTACCTGGAGGAGAGGAACCTGGGGTGGGTCTGATTCCTTGGCTCTTGTCAAACAAGCACACTCACCCAGAACTTCTATAGCTCAAGGTGGCGCTTGTCCCCTATAGTCGAGCAACCATTGAAGAGAAACACAAAGAAACTACGAAGTACCCATTACCAGTCTCTGCAAAGAAAGCAGGAAGCAGATCCAGATGTGGCAGGGTGTCTGGGAGTCCTGAGGTGTAGATCTGGATAATAGATAGAAGATAAAATGACAGTGATCCCTTTCTCACATGCTTGCCTACAGGACGTGCGCTGGATCTCTGACTGGGTTTGGCTGGTGGATCTCAGTGGTCACATGTGAGTGTGAGCCAGTGGCATGGCTCTAGTAAATAGCCACCGGCTCAGTAGTCAGTCTGTGCTGTGATGGTTCTCTGGGTTGCCTGTGGTTCTGGGCTCTGGTATGCTGAGCTTCTTAAGCCTTGGAGGACTAGTTGGTAGCATGTACCATGCTCTATCAGGCTGCTGTACCTTCGAGGAAGAGCCCTGAAAACAGGCAGGCAGAGTCATTCCAGCATGTAGACCCTGGAACCGGTGAAATCAAGTACAAAATAAATGTTTGGAAAACCTAACTAGACACAGATGGATTTCAACCCCGAGACCTCGTGGCTGAGGAGTCAAGGTCATTGGACATTTGGAACATGAGCACAGGTTTCTATCTGTCACTGTAGCCCTATTTATTGCCTGTTTGCTTTATTTATTATTATTATTATTATCATTATTGTTATTATTATAGACAGGCTTTCACTGTATATATAGACAGGCTGTCCTTGATCACTTTTGACCTTCCTGCTGGTGTAAGCCACCACACCCCACTGATTACTATTATTATTATTAAGGCAGGCTTTTGCTATGTATGTAGACAGACAGGGCTGGCCTTGAACACTGTGACCTTCCCGCTGGTGTGAGCCACCACACCCCCCTTCTCCTCTTCCTCCTTCACTGACCTCTGCTGTTCTTGGACTTGCTTTCCCCCCAGCAAGTCATCTCCCTTGTTTCTCTTCATAACTTTATGATCTCTTCTCCCCTTTATCTGCCTTTTAAAAATACTTTCAAGTTTTATTTTATCACTTTATGTGCATAGGTGTTTGTCTGCATGCATGTCTGTGCTTATGTGCATAGGTGTTCGTCTGTATGCATGTCTGTGCACCCACACACATACCTGGTGCCCACAGAGGCCAGAAGAGGGTGTCAGTTCCCTAACTGGGGTTAGAGATGGTTGTGAGACAGCATGCAGGTACTGGGAATTAAACCTGGGTCTTCTGGAAGTACAATTAGTGCTTTTAACTACCGAGATATCTCTCTGTTTTGTCTGTCTTAAAATAGAGCTAGCCATTTCATTTATTTGTTTGCTTGTTTGCTTGTTTATTTTTGAGACAGAGTTTCTCTCCATAGTCCTGGCTGTCCTGGAACTCACTATGTAGAGCATGCTGGACTTGAACTCACAAAGACCTGCCTGCCTCTGCTTTCTGAGTGCTGGGATTAAAGACTTGTATCTTTTTAGTTTTTTCTCTTCCTCTGTATTCTCCCCTTCTATTTTCCCACCAGCACAAGTAAGATCAGAAACCAAGACAGGGTTAGTGAGCCACACACCAGAAAGCTGGACATTTAAGGCTAACCCATTGCATTCTTTCTGACAGAAATCCCAAAATCCATTATTCCTGTATTTAGTAGTTACAAAGGTATAAAGACTCATGCAGTTTTAATGTTAATAAACTATTTATTTCAAAATGCTGTGCCATTGTATTTTATCTTAAAGGGCTTTTAAACCTTAAGATACACTGTTAAGGAGTAGGTGTGAAAGGTTTTATTTATCCTCTAGTAATGTGTAACTTATATCCACAGTAACTTAACATCACAAATGTTTAAAAGCAAGATACGAAGTTATTTTAATACTTTCTTTTCCCTTCTCATTAGCTTAGAAATCTTCAAAGCAAACTTTTCATAAAAGAATCTTCGTTGCAAGAGATGAAGACCGAGTTAGATAGTTACAAAGAAAGTAACGCCCAGCAGTCGCTACAGATAATGTCCCTGAGAGATGACGTCAAGAACCTTCAGGACCACATTGCTTCTCTAATGAAAATTAAGGTTTTGAAAGACACAAATTCTCAGAGTCTGGGAAGAGGCAACTGGAACCTAACTGAGAGAGTTATAGACCTAGAGAACCGCCTAAGGTGAGATTCCCTGGTCTGTTTTCCTACATACCTTTTGCCATATGTTTTCAAATCACATATAAACCCACAATCCTGATCATATTGGGGGGTGTGCTTAGGGTTTTTTTCCCCCTTCAACTTGATACAAGAGTGTAATTTGGGAAAAGGGAATATCTGCTACACAGAGAACCCCCCCCCACACACACACACAAACACGTATATATGTTTCGTCATACTGAACATTGGTGGAGCTGGTTTCATTGCATTGTTGACCACTTGGTGTCCTACGCAGAGAGCATCTGGTGGAAAGAGAGAAGGTGGGGCGGAAGGCAGAGCTGGAGAAAAGATGGCCCTGCTCCAGCAGATTCTCTCCCTATATGAATCTGAAAGAACCAGAGGATTCCTTGGATATTTTCCCTGTGAAGGTGAGGGTGAGTTTTGACTGTTGCCCCGAGAGAAAAGGGGACGCCTTGGTTAGGGTGCCAGTTCTGTTGTCAATGGAAAACCCAACGAAGGCCAGTGGAGAAGGGACTGTGCTGAGGACTGGAAGGTGAGTTTACAGAAAGATTTGCAGGGGAGGGATGGAGCTGAGGAACAGCTGGGGTGGGGGTGGGCGGATGATGAGGAGATGAGATCCCGGAGCTGACCATTTCCTATTATTGGCTGAATACACTGGGCTTGGTGTCTTTGGATGTAGAGGGCCGGGCACAGGTACCACAAGCCAGGGTGCTATTGGGTCATCGACTTTGGCCATTGAGATCTAGCACAAGGATTCCAGGAGGGAGTGTATGTGAAAGAGAAAAGGAGGCTGGCAGGTCATTTTCACGGGACTTGTGAAAGTTTACCGTGAGCTCCTTAGACCATCACAGTTTCTTACATCATCTGAATGCAGAACAAAGACCTGTGGGACCCAGTTACTGTGAGGGATCCTATTAGAAAAAAATCAGGGCCTGAAGAGATGGTCCAACAATTAAGAATTTTTTTTTTCTGAGCAAGCATCAGGAGCAGAGTCTGCATCCCGACTCCCACATGACAGCCAGGCATGGTCAGGCATGTCTACAGCTCCAGCACAGAAGGAGCCAGGATCTCTGTGACTTTCTGGCTGCCAGGGTCAACACGACCCTCCTCAAGGAATAAAGCAGAGAGTGATAGAGGGGGACACCTGACACCTTCCTCTGACCCTCTATACTTTCATTCAAGCAGAGGGGCACACACAGCTCTGTACAACTGCGTACAAGTGTGTATATGTCACCTGCACATTCAGCACATTGAATAAGTCCAATTTTTATTTGCATCTCAAGTAATTGGGCTTAAGACTTTTCCCCCTTTGAGCTTTTGTTACAGACCTCTCATTTCTAAAAAAGTTAAAGATAAAGAATAAAAGACCCTCTAAGAATTGGAACCCACGAAGTTATGGTTTTCTTCCCTGCTCTTTTTTCCTTCCAGGATTTTAGTGATACATTATTACTTCCATTCTTGTTGTTGTTTTTTCCTGTCCCTCAACCTCACCTAACAACAACAACAACAACAACAAAACCCCCACAACTAAACTTGCTGACTCGGTTGGTGAACTTCTCCCATGGGAGGAGCTTAGCAGGGCTAGCAGCACTACTCAGCTGGTAAAATCTCTTAATGAAGAAGTCTGATTACTGTTGTTCAATCCTCAGGCCCAATGGTGGAAGGAGAGAACCAATTCCCATCTATATTTGCACCATGGCATGTGTGCTGTTTGCACTCACACACATTCTACATATATACAACAAGGAATACTTTTTAATAATAAAAATGAACCCAGGGTTATCTTTTTTCTTGTCATAATTACAATACAAATAGTCCAGGAGGAAGTGCTATGACTTCTTTCATTTATATTATTGAGGTTGTTATACTTGAAAAGCATGACTCTTTTTTTTTTTTTTTTCTTGCAGTATTAGGGACTGAATTTAGGACCTCCAGAATGTCAGGCAAGCACTCTACCACAGAGCTATAGTTTCAGCTCTTCTGGAGTATAATTGTTTATGAAAACACCTGTTTCCTTGATAGCTCTTTACATAATGGCTTCAGTATTCATTGATGACCCTTGCCTGAATCAGTTATTTATTAGAAGTTACAAATGAAGGTTTCCAGCTGGGCACGGTGGCATGCAGCTGTAATCCCAACACAAGGGAAGGCTGAGCTGATTTCACATGATCACCTTGGTATATGCCACCTCTCTCATAGTGACAAATAAAATAATCAAAAATAATAAGGTAAAACGATAACTGAAATTCGTTCTACACCTTGAGATGGAATACGCTGTAGAGTTTGCCTTTATCAATAAGGTGTTTGAGCGGACTGTGTCAATTCCTACCCTCTGCCATTATCATCCCTCCTTTTAAATCTATGCCTTGTTTCTTATGTGACTCTAATGTTTCTTTTTCTTTTTTTTCTTTCTTTTTTTGTTTTTGTTTTTGTTTTTCAAGACAGGTTTTCTTGTTGTAGTCCTGGCTTTCCTGGAATTTTCTACATAGACCAGGCTAGCTTCAAACTCATGGCTTTTTTGTTTGTTTTGTTTTTGTATTCAAGACAGGGTTTCTCTGTGTAATATCCCTGGCTATCCTGGAACTTGCTCTGTAGATCAGGCTGGCCTCGAACTCACAAAGATCTACCTGCTGGAATTAAAGGAGTGTGCCACCACTGCCCAGCTAAACTCATGACTCTTAGTGTTTCTAATGAAGGGTCTTTTCTCTTAAGGTTTTGTGTTATTGCTATATTCATAGTTCATAAGAAGGGACAAACACATGTCCATATTAAGTTTCAGATGAGAAGTTTAACCCTGTGTTGGTACATTTAGGACAATGGTGAAGCCTCCAACTTTGAGAGAGACATTATTTACTCTGAAGGACCAATCGATGGGCAAAACATTGGCGGTAAATGTCAACAAGATTTGATCCACAAAGAAAAACTAACATCTGAGTTTGAAAGACCTCAATACCCCTGCAGCTGGGAAACCACACCTGAGCAATCCCATCATCAGGATTTCCTTGGTCAGTTGGCTACTCTATTGAGTGACAGCATTGGTCCCATACTAGCCACCGAGGAAGCAGTGAAAGAGAGGATCCAGGAGATGGGTGTGAATGAACAATTGTGGAAATCTGTAAGTATACTGTCAAAAAGGTTACTCTTCCAAGTTTAATTAATGTAGTCTCTCTCTCTCTGTATACCTACGCATGGGGATATGCGTAGGTCGATGTGTGGGTTAATGCTTGTGGTTGACCCTGGGTGTGTTCACTAACTCACTGATTTGACCACTCTGGCTTGCCAGTGGGCTCTAGGCATCTGCCTGGCCCTAGCATTTGAATTACAGATGTGCACCAAGCTTTTTATGAATGGTGAGCATTCAAACTCGGGTCCTCATGTTGGCACAGCAAACACTTTACCATCTGAGCCATCTCTTCCTTTCCCCAATTTTTATTAGTTTAATATGTAGATTTTGATATTAGCCAATTAGTAATATCTTTTGTTTCATTGCAACCATCAGTCAGCAGAGTTATGATCCTTAGGAAGCAAGAAGGTAGATCATTTCAACGTGACTCGGTAGGCAGTGTTGGTTGAGAGTCTGACCCCCGAGCAGTTTATTATAAGCATATTTAAGCACAGCACAAACAGGAGAAAAACTTTCCCAGTGACAAATAACTTAATCCTGTAAGGTATATGGTTTTTCCGCCTGCCGCCTGGTCTGGTCCAGCTGCCGCGCCATCCCCAATTAATACACAGAGACTCTGTATTTGATACAATGCTGTTGGCCCGGTTACTTGTTTCTTATCGGCTAGCTCTGTCTTAATTATTAACCCATTTCTATGTATTTCCACGTGGTCTCCTTACCGGGGAGTGAGGCAGGCGTCTGGTCACCCCGGTCTCTCCATGCTGACTCCTCCTTACTACTTCCTATTTCCTCCTTGTCTCCTAGTCCCTCCTATCTTCCTTTCCTATTGGCCAACAGTGCTTTATTATTAACCAGTATGAGAAACATATACAGAATGACATCTCCCATCATAATCCCTTGTGCACAATAAACCTTAAGAAATGACTAGAGGAAAACTCTTTGTAAAGTACAAGTGACATTTTTCATAAAGATGGGTTTTATGGATTGACAAACTCATGGTAAGGGTCTGGGGGTGGATCCGATGTGGTCATCTTGGCTGCAGAGATAACACAAAGGTCACTAGGCTATTAATCATATCCACTCCAGGCTTCTGGTCTCCTAGTACTCATCTGTGAGCATAGGGACCTCTGTGTCTCCACACCTGACCTGGGTGTTGGGTGCTGAGCCATCTCTCCAGCTCTTCATTGTAATTTTGATTGCATTTTTATTATTAAGTGGAAGAAGAGAACAGGCTTTCCTTAACTGTATTGAATACACTATAGCTTGGTTAGGGCACAGAGCCATGCTATGACCCCAAACTGCCAGCTGTGTGTTTTTGGGCAGGTTATTTATCTTCCCTGTGTTTTAGTTCATTTATGAACTGAAGAGCTATCATTCCTATTTTCAGTATGGTTGCAAAGATTAAATGGGTTAATAGATGATAAATGTTTAGTGTAGTTCAACATAAGATCAATACATATTAACTTAAAAGTAATGTACTAGCTGGGCATGACAGCATATACCTATACTCCCAGGTTTTGAGAGACTGAGGGTAAGATTGTGAATTCCAGGGCAGTTTGGGCTACATGGCAAAGAACAGCAACAAAATCATTATGCAACTTTATTTCCCACTATTAATACATCTTATCTTTGTGTATCAAGATTTTCTACTTATTTCTTAAAACAATAAATATATCCAGATATATGATCCATAACTATATACTACTAGTATGTGGAACACCGAGGCAGGAGAAATGCTGTGAGTTCCAGATTGTCCTAGTTGATAGAATAAAAATCTGCCTAAAAAATTCAAACAACCAGTGATGTAGAGAGGGCTCTGTGCCTAGGAATACTTGCTGCTCTCACTGAGGACTTAGGTTCAATTCCTAACATCCAACCATCTGTAACTTCAGTTCCAAGAGATCTGATACCACTTCTGGTCTCCTTGGACATGGAGCATGTGTGATGCACAGACATACATGTAGGCCAAACACCTATACACACAACAAAAAAGTACATGTCAAATTTACTCATCTTTCCAGTAGTTCATGTTACCTTAGTGTCTATAGAAATAGAATTTGTACATTGGTGGGAATGGTGTGGGGTACACGGAGCACTGGGAATGTTTATTTAATGTCATGTCTTGCAGAAAACTGAAGCCCTGCAGCAGGAAATTCAGATGCTCACTAAGAGACTGGAGCAGCTGTACCACCTTTATGAAGAAGCTGTTGATAAGTCACCCCAAACTGAAGAAAATTATATGGGGCAAAAAAGACCCTTGCAACATCTGGAAGGACAGGCTGCTGTCAACTCCTGTCTTTTAGACATGGGCAGGAAGAAAGTAAGAGTTTCCATGGGTGACAAGGTTCTCTGGGAATGGTCACGTTTTGCTTTACTTTATCAACAGCTTTAACATGACTAAAGCTGCTTATGCTATTTATATCTTTCTATTTTTGGTATATGTGCATGCATGTGTATATGTATGTGTTAGCATTTTACTGTGTAGCCCTGGATGTACTCAAACTTGCAGCATCCTCACTCAGCCTCCCAAGTCTAGGATCACAGCTGTGCACCACATCTGGCTTATGCTTCTCTTGAGAAAAACAAAAGCCTCTCATATTTCTTTATCTTTTTTGTATATTGTACATATATTTGATAAGTATTATGATGACACTTGTTAATATGACTCTTATTTTATTTTTCTCGAGACAGGGTTTCTCTGTGTAGCTTTGGAGGCTGTCCTGGAACTCGCTCTGTAGACCAGGCTGGCCTCGAACTCACAGAGATCTGTCTGCCTCTGCCTCCCGAGCACTGGGATTAATGGCATGCACCACCGACGCCTGGCTATGACTCTTATTTTTAACAGGTTGTTTTTTTGAACAGGGTTTAGTTTAACAATATAATATAGCTCAGGCTAGACCAAAACTCTCAATGTACCCAAGGCTAACCTTAAATTTATGGTTTCTCTGCCTCTGTCTCCATAGTCTAGCTGAGATTAGAGATGTACCAACTCCCCTGGCTGATACATATCTTAACTCACTTTGTTTTTATGTTTTAAACTGCATTTTCTTTAAATTTATTTATTTTTATTTTACGTGCATTGGTGTTTTGCCATGGGTGTCAGGTCCCCTGGAGCTGGAATTACAGACAGTTGTGAGCTGCCATGTGGGTGCTGGGAATTGAACCCAGGTCCTTTAGAAGAGTGTAAGTGCACTTAACCACTGAGCCATCTCTCCAGCCTTCTTAATTCACTTTTAAATGAAATGAAAAGGAAATGTATTTAAAGGAGTGGCTCTCTAGTGGTGGAATTCAAGGGTATTGTGACTGACGACATGATGCCACAAACTGTAAGGGGTCCCTTGTGACATCCCTCAATTATTCCTGTGTGAGCCGTTAACCATCTCTGCTGAAGAGGCAGACCAAAAGGATAGGAATGGCTGCAATTTATTTCCAGGAGCTTCTGCTTTCATTTCGGCATCTCTGCACAGAACTATGCGCCGCGTCCTAACCTACACCACGCTCTTCTAGAATGACATGGCTGGAAGTGCCATCTCACACACTTACCACTGACTAAGCTGGTCTTCAGCCTGTTCATCTACCAGTATGTGTTTGTGTTGTTTCCTTTGGCTTGCTGGTCATCAGAATCTTATCATGTGGCTTTGGATGATCCGGAACTTACTGCAGACTCAGAAATCCACCTACCTCTGCCTCCCAAGTGCTGGGACCAGTCAGTATTTTTTTTTTTTTTTGAGTAGTTTTTTTTTTAAGGAAAAAACCAACAACAAAGGCAACAACAGCAACAACAGAAAACCTCTGTTATTGAGGCTGAAGAGATGGCTCAACAGTTTAGAGCACTTGTTGTTTTTGCAGAGGACCTGGGTTTGAATCCCAAACCCACTTCATGGTTCATAGCCATCTGGAACGCCAGTTCCAGGGTATTCACTGCCTTATTCTGACCTTCTCAAGTACCAGGCATGTCCATGGTAAACATACACAAATGTAAGAAAAACACGCCATCATTCTGAAATAACATTTGTTTTTGCCTTTTGTGACAAGATTTCGCTATGGAGATTGATATGGAGACCAGGTCAGCCTTGAACTCATAGAGATCTGCCTGCATCTCTAGCCTCATGTGCCACCATGCCAAGAATCACTCTGAAATGACATAAAAAAAATGTGCCTCAGAGCGTTCAAGATTGAGCATGCCTTCTGTGTCCACTCTTGAACAACCTTTCAAATGGACTCAGGAAAACAGTAATACTTGTCCCAGTCCTCTTCTGCCTCTGTTATCCCAGGAACCAGTTATTTAGGCAGGCATTTTTAGAGACATTACTGTGGTGCTTTGCAATAAAGTGAACATCACAACCAATTGAGTCTGGTGACATTTTCGGTTTGTTTCTCAGTGCATATAAAAATTCTAATGACATTATATTATAGTCTAATATGTTTTCATTATATATAACATATATGTCAAAACAAATTAGTAAATTGTTCTCTAGAAAAATAAAATAGACAGTCCAGACAAGCTTTCTTTTTTAGTGAAGGTGAAAATATGCATTACTTGTGTGATGATTTGAATGAGAATGGCCCCCATGGGTGCATATATTTGAATGTTTGTTTCTTAATTGGTGGAACTGTTTTGGAAAGAATTAGGAGGTGTGGTCTTATTGGAGGAGGTGTGTCACTGGGTCTGGGCCCAGTCAGTCTTTCTCTGCCTATGACTTGTGAAGAAGTAAGCTCCTAGCTACTGTTCCAGTTCCATGTCTGCCTATAGGCTGCCATGCTCCGCCATGATGGTCACAAACTTACCCTCTGAAACTGTAAGCAAGGCCCCCAACTAAGTGCTTTCTTTTATAAGTTGCTCTGATCATGATGTCTCTTCACAGCAATAGAAAAGTAACTAAGACAATTTTATAAACAGAGAAGGAAAATATGAAAGAATATTTTGCCATCTAGGTCTTGGTGGAACTCAACAGTAGAGCCTGTGCTTAGCATATTTTAAATCCTTGGTTTGATTTTCCTCACAGTGGGAATAGGGAGAGGGGTGACGGGGAGGAGAGGGGAGGAGGAGTGAGAAGGGAGGAGAGGATATTTAAAAGAAATAATTTGTTATAAACAATATAATGAGACAAGGTCAGATCTAAAGTCCCCAAGACACTCAGAATCCTGAGAAAGAAAACTATTGGGCCTAAGCAGACACTCCAGTAAGGTGGCCCATAATTAATGAAGATATAAACACGTGGGCTGAGGAAGCTCAGGTGGTAATGTGCTTGCTTAGCCTAAAGGAAGTCCTGGGTTCCATCTCCAGTAACACACAAGCAGGCATGGCGGTACAGGCCTGTAATCCCATGATTCTGGAGGCAGAGGCTGGAGGATCAGAAGTTCAGGGCCACCCTCGGCAACATGGTGAGTTCCAGGCCAGAGATTCATGAGCACCTGTCTCACAAACCCTCCTCTGAAACACCAATAAATCCCAAGACCCCGAGGAAACAGTGTTATATGGGAATATTTTCTCTTGACTATCTTCTATGAATATATACATGAAAAACTGTATAGTTTTAAAAACAGAGTTCTCTGTGTAGTCCTGACTGACCTGGAACTTGCTCTGTGGACCAGGCTGGCCTTGAGCTCTCTTCCTCCTGCTGGGATTAAAGGCATGTGCTACCACCACCTGGCATTTTATGAACATTTTAGCATAATTGAAATAAGTGAACCTTCATATGTATATATGTATATATATATATATATTTCCATTTACAATATCACTATTACTTTTAATAGATATATTAGAAATAATTTCTAGGGGATGTATATTTTATCATGCAAAATTTAATTATTCTGATTTGACAATTGCATGGCAATTTCCTTTTATTCATTACTAGTTATGCTGTACATCATGTTGTATGCGAATCTTTACCCAAATACATAATACATTTTAATATGTGCTCAGAAATATGGATGAATCTATGCTAACACATAGTACTTACTATAAAGTTGATTGTTTAACTATATATTTCATAGCATTGAGTCATCATTTAATTTGCTTGTTTAATTTTCCTGATGATTTTATTAGTTCATATTTATGCTGACAGATAGTTATGCAATTAGCACTTAACCTCACCCAGAACATATTAAAATACAGTTCTTAATTTCAATACTGTTAATGTCTACAAAGGAAAGCTCCAGGACTCGGTCTGCTCAGACAGATAAACACAAGAAGTTCAAACAGTTAGACATGTTATTGGATATTGAACAGAATTCGAAGATGGCTGCAGCCCCAAGAATGGAGGAGAAAATTCAGAGACTCCAGAAGCAGCTTAGTGACTTGAAACTGTCAAATAAAAATATGAAGACTCAACTGACAAGAATAAATATACTTAAAGTAAGTAAAGGAAGCAGGCTTTCAAACATTCACCTATGCTTCAGGCTCTTCCTATTAGTTGTATGTCTTCCATACTTTTATACTTTTTATTTGTTTAGTTCCTTACTAAGTGGCTCAAACCAGGTTTCACCATTCAATTAGCCAATGGAAAGCGCCAAATTAGGGGCCTGGAGAAATGGCTGGGTGGTTAAGAGCACTGGGTTTTCTTCTAGAGGACTCAGGATCCACGCCAAACACCCATGTGATGGCTAACAACCATCTGTAACTCCAGTTCCAGGGGATCCAATCTAACCGTCTTCTGACCTCTTCTGGCACTGCATGTACATGATACATAGGCATATATGCAGGCAAGACACCTATACACGTAAAATAAATAAAATGCTTATTTTTTTTTTTTAAAAAAAAGAGACTAGTAGTGGAAAGCAAAAGGAGATTTATTCAATTTGGTCACATCGTGAAGAAGGGCAGAGAGATCCAGTGAACGACCCCAAGACCATTTGGGGGGGGTCTTGAAATGAGATCCCAGTTTAAATAGAATTTAACATTTAGTTCGAACATCCCTGATCAAGGTAAGGTCCTCCCTACCACTGACCATCATTGTCTGGGTCTCAGTCTCATCCTGTAAACTTATCTGACAAGTTGTTAGAATTTTGTAAAATTTCCTCCTAGCAGACAAGTTTCCCCTCTGGCTGGTGACTTTTCCTTCTCCCAGCCTGAGGCTTCTGTGGAAATTCCCATTCCTTTGGGATCATTGTTTGAGAAACACAGTATCTCCTTAGAACAGCTTCATTTCTTCAAGGTCATTTATAGTGCAATGACACGTGCATACCACACATGTGCACACACACACACACACACACCTATGCACGAATGCACGAACACACACATGCACACCCAATGAAAATGATTTTGTATACATGCAAAAATAATATTAAAGCCTACAACCCAGTGGTTCTCAACCTTCCTAATGCTTCAACCCTTTAACACAGTTCCTCATGTTGTGATGACTATAAAATTATTTTGTCTGTGTAGCCACCAGACAAAATGTTGTTAAGCCTGTTGAAACCTGTGCTTAGCTCACTACTTCACAAAGTGTCACAACTATAAAGCATTCCCTTTTTGTTTTAGTTTTTAAAGATTTATTGGTTCGTGCTTTTATTCTATGTATCTGCACCTTCATGAGTTTGTGTGTAATGTGAACCCAAATGCCCACAGAGCTCAGAAGAGGCCATTGGATCCCTTGAAACTAGAGTTACAGGAGGTTGTGAGTGGCCTGATATGGGTTATACAAACCAAACCCAAGCCTGCTGTAAGCATTCATGATGGCTGAGCCATCTCTCCAGTACCTTCTTTTGATTTTACTGTGGTGTTTGTTCAGAACTTGGTAAGTTGACTAGACTGGCCTTGACTTTTCAGAATTTGCTATTTACCAAATAGCTAGGGCTGGTCTGGAACTTCCAGCTTCATCCTATGAATTGTTGGAGTCATAGTGTGCACGCACAGCTTTTTACCTTATTGGATTAATAGATTATTTTGTTTTTAATTAATTTTTTGGATGTTTTGGGGCTATGTAGCTTTTATACTGTTTCAAGAGTTAGTTATATTTGAAGTCAAATATGCATTAAATAATTGACCATCTGCTGTGCAGTTTAACAAGGATGTTTCTCTGCTGCAGAACCAGTTATTTCTGTTTTGATATTTGGTTAACATAGAGTACATAGAGTATAATATCATTAAGGGCTTAGAATATGTGTTAAGGCTCTTTAAATTCCATGTATTCAGTATATAAAATGAATATTAAGGTGAAAAATAATTTCTTAACCCAGAAATTGGTAAGATATGCTTTCCATGTGTTTTTATGAAGTTATTTTTAAAAGGCACATGAGCCAGGAATGGGAGGTAGAAGCAGGCAGATCTCAGCAAATTCAAGGCTAGCCTGGTCTACTTACTGAGTTCCAGACCAGCCCAGGCTACATCGTGAGGCCCTACCTCAAAACAAAGTTGAGTTGTCTAGTCTGTTAATTCCAGATCTAAGCACATTTTTCCCCTTCCTTCCACTTCCCCTTTATCCTGACACAGGACAAGACAATCGAGAGGCTCAGACAATCTGTAACAAAAGTTGAAACAGTGAAAGAGAAGGCAGGTGCCAAAACAGACAACTTGAAAACCTCCTCAGACTCAGCGGAGCAGGCAGCAGGATCAGAGAAGGAGAGGGTCTACCAGACACCCGCGCGGGCCCCCCCTGAGCCCTCTGCCAGGAGCGCACTGAAGGTCTCAGGACGAGAGCAAGAGGTCTCTTACAACCATGTTAAAAACTAATTTCATTGATGTGATCAACACTCACCTTAACGTAGACTTTAGCTGACAGAGTGCCCGAGTCTTTCTAGCCCCCTATTCACATTAAAATCCTTGTGTTTGCCCTACTCTTTCCATACTTCTGCTTCAGAGCACTTAACAAGTTTCTACTAGAATGTATGATTATTTTAGCTGAACACTGCCCTCTTCTGTTGGGAAAGCAAGGTTGCATGTTTTAACTCCTGTAGTCCAGTCGGGTGCAAGTGGTTTCTTGAAGGCTTGTATTTGCAGGTGGAGGGATCATGTGATGTCTCCTGCAATACTCTCTTTTTGTGTATTTTCATTGTTCCTCTTTTCTTCTACTCACCTCTCCCTTGCGAAAACTCTGCAGCCTTCCTCAGAAACCTTGCCTTCTAGAACTGCCATTTCTGGTCTCATAAGCTTCCAAGCCTCCTTCTTTTCATTTCCCACCTACCAGTGTGCTGATCCCTGAGGTCTCAGGCTTGTCAGCATTGTGCCTGGGGATTAAGGTTGTGTACCACACCATCATATCAAATTTACTGCCCTCTGGAGCTGCCTCTGCTGCCTTGGGAAATTCATGTCCCTCTCACACGTAAAGTGAAAGCTGTCATCTTCCTTCAGAAGGCTTTGTGGGTGTTTTCTATTCGCTGTCCTTGTTGATCTCTTTGTCCTTTGGAGGATTGAGGATGGCTATTGTCATTAAGCAAATCAGAAGCCCCAAAGGCAGTTTGTCACTCCCAGTGGCACATGCCAAGAGTCTCCAGTTCAGGGATTGAGGTACATGGGTCATTTGAACCCAGGCGTTTTAAGGCTAGGCTGAGTAACACAACAAATACAAAAAGTAAGCTAGCGAGATGGCTGAGTGGGTAAGGGTGCTTGCTGCCAACCCTGGCAACCTCCTAATCCCTGGGAGAGAACTGACTCCTGAAAGATGTCTTCTGACCCCCCCACAGGCACACATGCATGCACAAATAAATAAATGTAAAAAAAGTAATTACATTATGAATGAAAGTAGTAATAAGTAGTAATAAAATTGGGTTTAATGTATCGAAGCACAAAATGAGAAAAGGAGATAAACGTGCACAAGAAGATTTAAAGAATTCTTGCAATAGAATTGATTTCTCTAACTTGCTAATACTGCTCCACCTAGGCATGGTGTGAGGCCTGGCTGTAATTGCAGCATGCGGGAGACCGAGACAGAGAAGGTGAATTCAAGGCTAGCTTAGCTGCACAGCAAGGCCCTCTACCGACCTCCCACCCCCATAGATGTCTTGCATTAAAGAAATATTTCATAAAATTAAATTTCAGTCTGTACCAAGTTCCTTGTACACAGTGAGTGGTGACTCATGGCAATGACATATTGATTTTCTCGGTGGTTCTTTATAGCTTGCCGACTTTCGAGAAACCATTATGAAGATGCTGGGATTTAACATGAAAACAGCGGACAAGGAAGCCATTAATCAACTGAAGCTTGTCATCCAAGTTTATGAAATCTCCAGCAGATCAAAGGTAGCTTCTCACTGTGAGACCAGACAGGATAAGTGAGCCAGCACCTCCTCCACTTACTGTCAAGAGCTTATGAACAGCTAGCTGTTCTACAGCATCCGGAATATAACTGCATTGTGAATAAAATGCACCAGGGAAGTTTCACTTAAAATCTCTTCTCTCCTGTGTTTGGTATTTACCTTTACTTTCTAATGATTTTTATATATATTTATATTTATATATTTTTATATATTTTCCTGGCTCAGTCTTTATTGTCAGTGGTGAGATTATTGACTGTATTTTAAGCAGGATATGAATCATAAACATATTCTTAGCTGCAAAATTTATAACCATAGTCAATAGCCCATGTCTTGAATGAATGATTTGTTGGATAAACAACCCCCTTGGAAAAGCCGATAATGTTATATTCTCTTAATTGAGTCTATCTTATCTTCTTAACTGGGCATATGGACTTCAGATATGACATGTTGAGGAGTAGGAGAATTCTTGTAAATAGAATGGGCATAGACTGTATTGTATTTATTGTCCTAGCATTTAATACTTTCCCTAATGTAGGCCCATTTTCCTCTCAATAGTTACTTCATTCCTTTACATTTGTGATTTGAGAAAGGGCCCAGGCTAACTTCACACTCACAGCCTTTTTAATTTCTAGAGGTGGCTTAACTTTGTCCCCCTCCCCCTGCCTTGAGACAGGAACATTCTGAATAGCTCAGATTGGCTTCAAATTCATGGTCACACACTATTATACATCTTGAGAGCTGGGATTACAGACTGTACCACTATGCCTAGCTTCCTCATAGTCTTGGCTTATGTCCTCCTTCATTTTTTTTTTATTATTTTTAAGATTTATTTGTACTTTTATGAATGTTTTGTCTGCATGTATGTATGTGCACCATGTGTGTGCAGTGGAGGTCATAAGACATCAGATTCCCTGACACTGGAGTTAAGAAGAGTGTGATGTCGCCCTGGCTGACCTGGAACGTGCTGGCTTCAAACTCACAGAGATCTGCCTGCCTCTGCCTCCTGAGCCCTGGGATTAAAGACATGTACTACCATGTAATCAGACGTTTTCTGTTCCACCAGCCAACTCCCAAATAACCACACAGAGACGACTTATTAATTATGAAAGCTTGGCTGAGAGCTTAGGCTTGTTCCTAACTAGCTCTTATAACAAATTAACCCATATTTTTATTAATCCACATTCTACCAGGTGGCTTTTACCTCTATCCCATTTTGTGTGTTCTAGTCATTCCATGTCTGGCTTTTCTGCCCTTCTTCCCAGCATCCTCTGTGCCTGGAAAGCCTGACTATTGGCCATTCATCTCTTTACTAAACCAATCATAGTGACATACTTCATAAAGTGTAAAGGAATATTCCACTACATTTCCCCCTTTTGTCTAAATAAAAATGTTTTAACTCTGACATAGAAATTCTATATTCAATAAGAACAATTATCAAGGAAGGCTTACATTTACAATATCCAGTCTACTTGCATTTGGCAGATTCCAAGTTTTGTGCCTAATTTACTCATATAAGGAAAGCACAACTATCTCGTCTTCAACTCCATCAAAGACCCGAGGAGGGTATAATATAACCCGATTAAACAGGAAGATCAGAACAAACTACTTATAAAATTATAGAAATGACAGAAACAGCTTGTTGCCTGGACGGTCACCCAAGGTTCTTCTGTAATATTGGGGCATTCATTTTCAGGCCTAGGATATCTGACAGACTTTTCTGTGAAGGAGGAATTTTGAAGGAGTGTCCTATCTTGTGTTAGCAAAGTTTGGCAGTCCTTTCTTTTGTGTCCTGTTTCTCCAGTTTGGACAGCAGCTGTCAGCAGCTGAGCCAAGGGCAGTTTGTTGACCAGTGCCTAACTTTTACCATGAAGAAAGCAAACTCCATATGGAGGTTCTTTGATGCCCATCATCTTCTCTCTTGTTGCTGTCAGGTTATGTATCATTGTCATAAAAAGCCTTATGTTATAAAAACATTTTAAATACCATATTCTGAAGACAGTCTATCCAAAGTATATCTCTCAGGATGACCTTGAAAACATAACTAACATCACTATAAGTTAGATTGTTATAGGTGACTAACTACTAACCTGCACTTCGTTATTATCCTAAATAGTTTGTAATACTGCCACGACTAGCTTGTTCCTTCGTTTTAAAACCCACTTTTTGTCATGCAACTATTTCTCTGGTTCTCTTATGTGCTTCTCCAATTTCCCTTGCCATTACATCGGGACTACTTGCACAATCCAGAATTATGTTCCTATTTTTATCTTTAACTTTAGCATCCACTAAAATTGAACATGTATATGCTTTATGGGCAGGCAATTCCATACCTATATATGTAACATATATGTAGGCATTCCATGAAAATGCATTTACTAGACTTTATAGTGGCATTGTTCACAACTGTACCAAATGCATATTATCCAAATGACCAACCATAGCCTAAGTAAGGCTACCAGATACATCGGTTCAGGTCTCCTTTGGGGCTGGTCAGGGAGGAAATCTAAATTTTCCCAGCTGATAAACTAGGCTCTAGGACCAGAAGTAGAGAGGCAGGCAACATGGGAATTGAGGAAGAGGGTTTCCTTTAGAAAAGTAGGAAGATAAACACGGTAAGAAACTCAATCGGTTGTGTTTGCTTCTTGCTGAACACTTGTCACTGAACAGCTTGGTAACCTTGGTCAAGGGCTGGAGCTACTTAGAATCTCAAAATTAGACAATAAATGTGGCCTGGATCTCTGAGTTCTAATGGTGGGGTCGTGGGTAGCTTCAATCACTCTGACAAAATATTTTCTGTACTTACTGGAGTTTATGGTACTAGGAGCACCAGAGCTAGAGGGCACGGTCCGAAGATGTATTCTACCTCAGCTCTGTTCTTTGGCTGCCAAAGCAGGAGTCATGAGTCTCCCGGATCACCCAAAATTCTCCTCCATCACCTTACTCTGGCCTTCACCTCTAAGTGTTCCCTTCCACAAGGAGGGACCATGTCCTTGCCTGCGGTTCAATATACCGAAATTGCTACTTAGGCCAGGAGTGCCTTCCTGCCCAGAATTTGCTTTCGGGGTGCGACCAAACTTGAAGTCTTACAGCTTCCAACTGTCAACCAAGTAGGGTACATTGCCTGAGCTTGTGCTGGCCATGCTGCGCTTGCGCACACAGCAGAGGGTCGTGACGCCAATCAAAGTGCGGGTGGTACCAGGGAGGGGCTGGGCCCGGGCAGAGTTGCATTTTGGGAGGTTGGTCTCTGCAGGATGGTGACTTCAGTGCTTGTGCCCAGGCTAAGAGCTGGTGGCGGCTGGGGCGACATTCTACTGTCTCTCACCGGTTCAGTAAGATTGAGGTCCAGCTTTCTAAATGCGAGGATCTGGGAGGGGTTCCAGAACTTTGCAGTGCTGGCAACAGTTCTGCATGTGCTCCAAGTGCAAACTTCCCCTAAACTACCCCTGGACTCAGCTCTTATAGAGTTAAAATGCACAGCTTTAATACTTTCACAGTTTCTCAAGTAAATTAGTAATCCTCTAGTTCCTTTTGCCTTCATTTCTTCCTTTTCTTTTTCTTTTCTTTTCTTTTCTTTTGCTGCTGTTGTTTATTGAGACAGGGTCTCACTATTTAGTCCTGGCTGGCCAGGAACTCACCATGTTGACCAAACTGGCTTCAAACTCACAGAGCTTGCTTGCATTCCAAGTATTATAGAGGCTGTGCCACCAAGCCCTGCTCCTTTCTTTTAAAAAATATTTATATCCTTATTTTATGTGTATATGTGAGTGCCTATATGTCTGTATGTGCAACATGTATGTGCCTGGTGTCTGAAGTCCAGAAGAAGGCACTGGATCACCAGGACCTGGACTTACAAGCAACTGTCAACTGCTTTGTGGGTGTTGGGAACTGAACCCTAGTCCTCTGCAAGAGTAGCCAGTAATTACAACTGCTTATTAGCCATCTCTCTAGAACTCCCCCCCCCCACATTTTAAAAGATAAATAGGCCAGATGGTTATGGTGGTGCATGCCTTTAATACCAGCACTCGGTAGGCAGAGGCAGGTGGATCTCTGAGCTTGAGGCCAGCCTGGTCTACAGAGTGAGTTCCAGGACAGTCAAGGCTATACAGAGAAACCCTGTCTCTAAAAACAAGAACAAAACAAAACCAGAACAAACCAAAAGCAAGCAGAATGATAAACAGGCCAATACCAATAGGTAAGTGCTTCAGAGGATGCCAAGGCCAGAGGATAACTGCTGAAGTCATTTCCCTCCCTCCACCATGGGGTTCTGGGAGATAAACTCTGGTCAGTCATTGGCCCCTCCAGCATTTTAATATAATTTTAATTAGTATTATTTGCCAACCCCCTAAGCTGATGAGTTTTCTATAATTATTTTGCAATCAACCTGCAAGTTAATATCCCTTCTCTGTAATTTAGCATCCTTACACCTTCTAAACACAGCTGTTGGTAGACATGATTTTAGAGAGCCATGAGCAAAAATTTAATATGGAAAGAGGGAAAGGGTTTCATTTTTCAGGGAAGGGTGTATGAGGAATTTGCAAGAGAATGACCAGGATCATCAGAATGACCAGGAGTGAGTCAGACAGATTGGATTTAGTTTGTATGCGCTGTTGGTGAAAATTCGAAATGAATCTGCCATTTTTTTTTTTTTTTTTTGTATCTACTAAGGACTTTTTTGTTAATTTTCAAGACAGGATCTCAACTGCTGGGCCATCCCCTCAGCCTCTGTTTTCATTCTTAGTTGTGTGTGTGTGTGTGTGTGTGTGTGTGTGTGTGTGTGTGTGTGTGTGTGCATATGCATGTAGGTGCCCTTGGAGGCCAGGAGAGGGTGTTTGATCCCCAGATACCCTGAAGCTGGAGTTATAGGCACTTGTGAGCTGCCCGATGTGGTGCTGAGAAACAAACTCAGGTCCTCTGCAGAAGCAATATCTGCTCTGAGCTATCTCTGAGCGCTTTGTTGTTTCTGGATGGCTCTCATGTAGCTAGAGATAGCCTTGAATTCATTCTGTAGCCCAAGGCTATTGGCTATCCTTGAATGTCT